ACACTCACCCTTAAGTTCTTCTGATCATAGTTTGGTCTCTCTAAAACTATTATCTCATTCTTCTTTACCATCAGAATCCCCCTATCATCGTACATCTTACAACTAACCTAAAGCTGACTGGGACTCTTTCCGTGATTTTCTTCGTGATGGTCCTTGGGTAGAAATCTTTTGTCTTCCTGTTGACAAATGTACTTCTTACATAACTTCATGGATTCAGGCTGGCATGAAATCCTTTATTCCCTCTCGACGATTCCAGGTCAAGCCTCACTCTTCTCCATGGTTTTCCTCACAATGTGCTGCTGCAATTGCCAATCAAAACCATTACTTCCATATCTATCAGCAAAACAATTCTTCAGAAAACAGACGTCTGTTTATTACTGCTAGGAACCATTGTAAAAAGGTTTTGTTTAACGCCAAAGCCTGCTATTCTCAGACCATGAAATCTCATATTTCATCATGAAAGTTAAGCTCTCGCGACTTCTAGAGAATCTTTAATAGTATCAATAATAAGGGCAAATCTGTAATTCCACCTCTTTTGTATGGTTCAGACTTTGTCAACTCACCTGAAGACAAGGCTAAATTGTTTGCTAAGAACTTTTCATCAATATCATCTCTTGATTCCGCTAGTTGTGTTCTACCTGATATAGCCGTCAAACAGGTTGATCCATTGCTCGATATCCATATCACTCCAGATTCTGTATCTAAAGTGATTTCCTGCTTAGGCTCTTCTACAGCTTGCGGCCCGCACAACATACCTATTTTAGTCTTGCAGAAGTGTTCTCCGGAGCTGTCGTCTATCCTTTCAAAACTATTCAACAAGTGCTTATCAGAGTCTTGTTTTCCAGCCTGCTGGAAAGCAGCATCTGTTATCCCAATTTTAAAAAATTCTGGAAAGCGATCTGATTCGTCTAACTACCGTCCCATTAGTCTTCTTCCTATCATAAGCAAGGTTTTTGAATCTTTAATTAACAAACACTTAATCTCGAATCTCGAATCTCATAACCTACTTTCTGATCATCAATGTGGATTTCGATCTTCTTGTTCTACAGGTGATTTGCTATCAGTAATAACCGATAGCTTTTATCCCGCATTAGATAAAGGTAGAGAGGTTAAGGCCATCACTCTTGACATTTCTAAAGTGTTTGATAAACTTCTCCATAAGCTTTCTTCTTACGGTGTATTTGCAAACATCTTTAAGATTATTGAATCCTTTCTTTCCAATCGTAGTATAAAAATTGTCCTTGATGGACAGCACTCTTCTTCTTATTCTGTAACCTCAGGGGTTCCTTAAGGTTCAATCCTTGGCCCTATACTCTTTTTAATTTACATTAATGATCTTCTAGATATTCTCACATCTAAGGTGACATTGTTCGCTGATGATACTACCATTTATTCTTGTTACGATAAGAAGCCAACTCCTGATTGCTTTGTTCTGATTGCTTGCAGGGCACATCTGAACTTGAAAAGGATCTCACTTCTGCTACAGCATGGGGCTCACAGTGGCTGGTGAACTTTAATTAAGATAAAACTCAATTTTTTTCAGCCAATCGTTATCGCAATAATTTAGAACTTCCTATTTTTATGAACGGTAATGTACTCGATGAGTCTCCTACCCTTCATCTTCTAGGATTAACTCTGACTTCTGATATTTCTTGGAAGCCATATATCAGATCCATTGCAAAATTAGCATCTGCTAAAGTTGCTTCCCTTTATCGAGCTCGACACTTTCTTACTCTGAATTCTATTCTCTATCTCTATAAATCTCAAATCTGGCCTTGTATGGAATACTATTGCCATATCTGGGGCGGATATTATTAATTGCAAAATTAGCATCTGCTAAAGTTGCTTCCCTTTATCGAGCTCGACACTTTCTTACTCTGAATTCTATTCTCTATCTCTATAAATCTCAAATCTGGCCTTGTATGGAATACTATTGCCATATCTAGGGCGGATCTTCTAATGATGCCCTTTCTCTTTTAGACAAGGTGCAAAAACCCATTGTAAATATAGTTGGACTTGCTTTTGCAGCCAACCTTCAACTTCTGTCACATCGTCGTAATGTTGCTACTCTTTCTCTTCTCTACAAATACTATAATGGGCACTGCTCTAAAGAGCTAGCGTCTCTTGAACCATCTACTAAAATTCATTCTCGTGTTACTCGTCATTCAATTAAGTCTCATCCTTTTCCTGTTACTGTTCCTAAGTGCTCCAAAAACTCTTACTCGTCTAGTTTTTTTCCTCGAACATCAGTTCTTTGGAATTTGCTTCCTTCATCTTGCTTTCCTGATTCATATAATTTGCAATCTTTTAAGTCGTTAAGTTTAAATGTTTATAATGTAAAATGGTTTTTAGGCAATATTGTAGAAATATCTGAAGTAAATCAAGATGTTCTTATCAAGTTCATGAAGCAGTTTATTTGCCTAAATACTTTTACTTGACCACATAAAGAAAATAATTGCTGTGTTTCAATAACGCACTTATTATGCAAAATATCACCTTTAAAAGTTCAATTTCTTAGATGCTATGAACTATCAGCTCAAGAAAAAACTGATTTATTATATTTGTACAATAGCATAAGTAAAATAATTAAATAACAAATTATAAATTTGATTTGTTTTAAATATATTTTTTAGAAAAAATTTATTTAAAAAATTCAATGTTTATATTGATTGTTTATTACATAATAATATTCTTTATTACATAATCAACTTGTGCATTGTGTTGATAAGTAAAATAACTTTTATAACTTGGTATAAGTTGTAATCTAAATTTGAACATGATAATCAAATAAGTCAAATTAATGGGGAGTGGTAGAATAATGTATGTATTGAAAAAATTTTACAAATATTACAGTCATTATATTAAATATTAGGTAAATTAGACTAAAAGTCTTTCTTTTCATTTTTACATAATAGCTAATCACACAAATGCAACACAATTCGACTTGTAAACTGCATCATAGGTCTTGCCAAACTTTCAGTAGTGCAATTACCATAATACGTTTCAAACAAACTAATATAACCTGTTTCACTATTGGCTAAGACAAAAACACAAATGCCCTACTTTGTGGGTTTCTGTGAATTGTACATGCGAAATGCAATTCTACCATTAAATCCGATAGTACTTTCATCAATTGCAATGTTACGAGATGGAAAAAAATTTCAACAGGAACTTTTCATTACTGATACAACACGGTGTACTTTTCTTGCATGTCTATTCAATTCATTAGATGGATTTGATGGTGGGGGTAAGTGCAGCATTCAACGTATCTGAAGAAACTGAGTTCTAGAGGAAACTGCTGAAAAAATGCAGTTCAGCCAATCACAAGAAAAATAATGTTTTTTGCTTGATTTTTCATTCAGAGCCATATTCAAAATATACCAAAATTACCAAAATAAGCATGAATTTCTTCAAGTGTCACATCTTTCCATTTATGCCAAATAGAATGAGTTCTATAGAAATATTCCAAATTGCTATCTTCCTCTGACTCTGATATCTTTGAGAATTCAGATTCACTAAAAGTGTGTTCACTGTCACTTTTAGTACTCTCGAGTTCCTAATAAACTTCTCCCCCCCCCTTCCCCCTGTTGATTAATTTTTGGATATCCCCCCCCCCCCATTTATTAATTTTTACTTGTTATCAACAAAAAAATTAAATATCTCAAAAGTAAAAAAAAAATTCAGTGAAAATCGGCCTTAATTTGAAATCGATAAAAACAAAAACTTTCAGTGTAAACAGGTTTTACAAATTGTCGACCTATTAAATCTTGATTTGCTAAAAATGAACTTTTAGTTTATTTCTCAACAAAGCTTTGGTTTTAATTATAGGATTTAATATGCTGATATAAGTTTTATACTTTGCAAAGTATAAAACTTATATCAGCATATTAAATCCTATTAAAATTATGATAAAACAGCCTAACCCTACCCTAACAATTGTTAGAAAATGCGCTTTTGTCCGCAAGTCAAATGCGCGCTTGACTTAACCTCTCCCCCCCTTCCTTTATTAGATTTGGACTAAAAACCCACCCGTTTATTCTTATCCCCCGTTGTATTCGGCATTCGAGAGTAAATGATGGGACAGGTAAGAGCTAGGGCTATTTAAAAACTGAGTTTAATTCAGGCTTAATTTAAAGATTTATTTCAAGTACTGTTTATGAAATACTTTTAAATTCATACATACTTTGTATTACAATATATAATACAATAACTTTATTTTACTTGTTTTGGGCAATTGCTCTGATTTTGTAACTTTCCCATAAGTACCCACCATATTTTTTTTTGCTGAAATCACTGTAATAAATTCTATTAAAATAGAAGGAAAAAAATCTTATTAAAACCTGTTTTGATCTTAGGTTTTTTAGAAGTCTCTAATTTTTTACTGAATTTTATCAGTAAATTTTTAAAAATTTGGAAGCCTAACATATATAGAAAGTAAAAATATTTCTTTTCACTTCTTAAATTACAGATTTTGTATATTGACTCATCAAAAATCAACTTTTTATATTTGCGAAAAATTTTTTTAGGTAGCCATAATGGAAAAAATGTAACATTCAAGAATTCAATGTCAAAGTTTTATTTAAGAACTGTATACAATAAAAAAAATTAGAAGGTTTTCTGAAATTTGAACAAAACATGTTTTTGCTACTGAAGTTGATATTTTATTCTGAAATTTTCAGGAAATGATTTTCTCATTGATATTAACAAACCCACCAAGTTTCATCAAAATCTGAAGGGTTCCATATTGGACCTTGGTCCAGTAGGCATGGAATGACTCATATAATGACACAAATAATGTAAAATGTTTTTGTATGGTCTATATATGTATTTTTTCAACACACACAAAAAAAATAAGATCATTTTGTTAGTGCGCTAACAAATAACTACAATTTCCATAATTTTTTCTTAGCAAGTTTTTCTTATCATATTTACAAATTTAAGTAACTTGTAATCCTTTTTAAGTTAAATTTAAAAAAATACCACAAATATAAATTAAGTACCGTTTTAGCTGCATGTTGCAATGCATCCCCAACACCACAAAGTGTTTGGTTGGCTAAGCAAATTGTTGATGTCCATATTGCACAATCTCTATGTAACCAAACCTCCAATTTATCATCACTGTCTCTAATATTAACTTTATATGGCCCAAATAAAACATCAAGATCTCCAATGTTTCCAGGTTTTCCACACATTGTGCATTCCCATCCTGTTCGATGAAGGGCTTTAAATACTTCAATCTCTACTGTGTTGTCTAACAAAAAGTTGGATTCATCATAAGCAGATTTAAGTCGTACTTTATTTAAGTCTATAACTGGGTTACATGGTTGTTTGGCTTTTTGTTTTTTTAAATGTTCTGGAAGAACTTCTGGCTCAAATGCTATTTTAGCTTTTTTTTTACTTTTTTTTTTCTTCTTTTTATTTAACTGTGATATTTTTTTCTTTTCTGTATGTTTGTCAATATTGGAGGTAATAATTTCTTTTTTAGCAACCTCTTTTTGTGTTTCAACACATTCTCCAAATTTTATTTCAGCTGAACTATTTTGACTATTTAAACAGTCAGCTTTTTTTATGCTTATGGAACTATTATCAGACTTGTTATTTATTTCTGGTAAACTAGAAACAGATGGATTGATTTGTTTAGAGGTTTCTTTGCTACTACTAGGAAAAAAATATCTATTTTTCTTTTCTTTTAATGGCTCAATCCTTTCCTTTTCAATTTTTTCTTTTAATGGTTCATTTTTTTCTTTTAATGGTTCAACCTTTTCTTTATATGGTTCAATCTTTTCCTTTAATGGTTCAACTTTTTCTTTTAATGGTTCAACCTTTTCTTTTAATGGTTCAACCTTTTCTTTTAATGGTTCAACCTTTTCTTTTAACTGTTCAATCTTATCTTTTAATGGGTCAATTTTTTCCTTTAATAGCTCAATCTTTTGGTTTAATGTGTCAGATTTTTGGTTTAACTCTACTTTTTGGTTTGATGACTCAAACTTTTGGTTTAATATTTCGACCTTTTCTTTTTTAACCTCTGTTTCAAAAACAAAATCATCAAACTTTTTCGGTCTGGCTCGCTTTCTTGGCTCATCTGATTGGTTTTTATGTATAATACCTTGGTTACCTTGATTTTGTGATTTTTTACCCAAAATAGATTCAGATAACTCTCGACTTTTATTAAATATTTCGACTTTAGAAGCAGAAGAATTATAGGGTGATCCTTCTTGTTCTTCCTTTTTAAAAATTTTTGGGACAGTCTTTTTGAAACGCTTCATTTGATTTTCAATTTCTAGCTTAGCAAGCTCTCTTAAAGCATCCTCTCCAGATACTTTACTCGAGAGAATTGCATTTCGTATTTCTTCAACTTCATCAACTTCTTCACAAACTTGATTTTGAGGTATTTGATTGGGAGATACTTTTTTGCCATTAGATGCTAAAAGTTTATTTTGAGTAAAATTTTTATTTAAAGAAGCAACATTAGGTGATTTAGATGCCAATGAGCTACTAACTGAAAAATTTGAATCTACTAATTTAGTTGCTGCTGCAGTTTTATACTGCAGATTTTGGGGAGAATTCTTTAAGCTATTAATACAAGAACTGTTATACACTGAGGCAACTCTTGCTGTATTTTTTTGAAAATTTTCATTTGCTTTACTGATATTAGAAAAGTTGCTACAACGCACATTTGTTTGAGGTTTATGAATGGATGAGTGAATGGAAACTGTGTGTGGTTGTGAAGAATTGATACCACTGACAGTACTTGCTTTGCTAACACTGAAATTTAAGACCTTGGCCATATTAAGTTCTTTATCATCTTCACTCTTAAAAGATTGTTTATTTTTATCTTTTATATTACTTTTTTTTTGTGCTGTTGGTGTACTTTGAAGTGCTGAAGGTGAAGACAGGTGAGGACTATTAGATAAAACTTTTTCTTTTTGTTTTGGTAGTGAAAGATTTGTGTTAAATATAGAAGATTTAACTGAAGTGTTCAACTGTTTTTGAGGTTGCGATGAAGTCACTGATGGTAAATTTTTAAGAAAACTTTGTTTTATACCAGGTTCAGGAAAATTTATTACTATAGGTGCATTTATGTTTTTAGTTTCAGAGTGTTGATCATGTATGTTCAATGACTGACTTTCTCCTGAAAATTCTTTATTTGATAAATTTGAAATTTGTTTTGCTCTGTGTTCTATTTGCTTTTCTGTTGGTTGGTCTATATTGAATGAATTTTGTAGATTTACAGTTGAATGAAGTGGATGTTGAACAGCACCTTCAAAAGCTTTAATGTTACTGATTGGAATTGAATTAGGTAAAATTATTGCATTTGAAACAATTTCTTCTAAAGGAATTGCAACATCACTAACAATTGATACAGTAGACATATCTATTTCTGGTATATCTATTGGAAGCTGCAACTCAGGCTCAATAGTCTGAGATAATGCATTGTAAAGGATAGGATCTAGCTGAACATTTTTTAGCTGCTCAGATGACATATTAGCTAAAAGGTCAGCAAGCTCTGCTAAACTACCAACAGCAATTATTCCTTCATTTTCATTTACTTTTAATGTTCCGTCAATGTTTTCAGTCATTTTTCTAAAAATAAAAAAATAAATTGAAAATGGAAAAAATATTAAATAATACCATATTTATCTGTATATATATATATATATATATATATATATATATATATATATATATATATATATATATATATATATATATATATATATATATATATATATATATATATATATAATCAATCAATCAATCAATCATTTTATTTCACTTTATTAAGTAAATACAAAGTTAGGATCAGTCACAAACAGTTATTAAACGCGACGACCTACAGATATTCACTACAGATATAAATTTGACAAAAAGTATAACATATTACAAGTACATGAATAATATCAGGTAATAATAAACACTTAAAATACAAAATAAAAAAAAAAAAAAAAAAAAAAAAAAAGAAAAAGAAAAAGAAAGAGCATTTAAAAAAGAAGCTGAAAATGCTAAATAAGAGGCTTTAAAATAGAACGAGAATAATACAGTAACAAGAGCATCACCAATAGCGTGTTATTAAAGAAAAGAGGCAAGAATATATATATATATATATATATATATATATATTATATATATATATATATATATATATATATATATATATATATATATATATATATATATATATATAAACATACATAAACACACATATATAGAAGTATATATAAACGTATATACATACAAACAAACTCTATTTTAAGAGTAGCTATGAAAAAATTAGTTTTGAATTTACTTAAAAAAAAATTAAAATTAAAGTTTAAGTTAATGAGGGAGCTAACTGGTTATTCTGCAGTTGCTGGAATATTTATCGGAGTAAAGAAATCACATTTATCTTAATAGTTAAAACATCATATATTGTTTTATAATAAACTATTACGTTGTGACATTTTTAGCAAATTATCTAAAATAAATAGAAAGTCAAATTATATGCAAATTAAGTTTACGAATAATCAAAATATCCGTTTTTATTTGCAATTTTCTGTTTTCAATAATTGCTTCTAGTCACTTAATGTCCGCATATTTACCTTTCGTAATTATTCGAATGCCATTATTTTTTTTTAAAAATACTATTTTTTTATTTAATTTTTCCATTATTAGATATGCTATTAGATATGCTAATAAAATGCTTTGATAAAAATAATAAGAATAATAAAAATGCTAAAGTGGCACAGTGAGTCAAAATCCATAAAAAAAAAAACATAAAAAAAATTAGTGTCACTCTTTTAAGATTGATATGGGTAAAAACAGTTCAAAATGTAATTTGAAGTAATTTGAATTTAAGATGCTTGGTAACTATTAATAACATTTTTGACAATAAATTTTAATTTTAGATTTTCATTATTGAGATTTTAAAAATGTGTCATAAATTGATTTTTTAATTATCAAACCTCAAAAACCAAAGTATGCAAGAGTTGAGTGCATATTGCATGTTTTAAAAAAGGAATAATTGATAAGAAATGAATATGAAACTTTAATAGGAAAAATGAATAGACTAGTCAAGTTTGAGGTAAAGTTCAAAGAAAAGGAAGGCAAACCGGATACGACTATCATATTTAAGATCAAACTAGATTTTTCTTTAAATTTGTCATTTTAGGTATTTAAGAAGTCCTAACGGTTTTGTCACAGAGCACCGCGGAAGTGCATTTAACCAGAAAGTTCACGCCTCCTTCCTTAGGACATATTTCGTGACGCGAAATATGTCCAAAGCTCGTTTCGAATCTAGATCTCCTGCTTATAAAGCAGGCGCTTTAACCACTGCGCCACGGCCGCACAAATTTAACCATGTTTGATAGTAAAGTGGTTAATACCCTCACTAACACTCTGTCCTCCCAATCATACAATGTTTGCTGAGCTAACCTCAGTGAACTTAATTAAACAGCGCTTTATCTTTTGCTGAGCTAACCTCAGTGAACTTAATTAAACAGCACTTTATCTTTTGCTGAGCTAACCTCAGTGAACTTAATTAAACAGCACTTTATCTTTTGCTGAGCTAAGCTCAGTGAACTTAATTAAACAGCACTTTATCTTTTGCTGAGCTAAGCTCAGTGAACTTAATTAAACAGCGCTTTATCTTTTGCTGAGCTAAGCACTTTATCTTTAGGTCGTTTTACTCTGCATTGCTAGCTCAGATCTTTTAAATATATTTTACATTTAGGGTAAAAAGACATTAAAAAGTACTTTGCCAAATACCCTGCTGAAAAAGAATTAGTAAAAAATATAAAAAAGTACTTCAAATGAAGTTTAGAGAGAAGCTAAGTTTTAAAGTTGATATGTCCAAACAGTGTTTTGGGAACACTAACGATGGGAACACTGCCAAAAGGGCGTTTGAAAATGCTGAAACTTTTGCTGATATAACAGGAGTGGCAGTAGATGTAATTATTAGATTGAAGACAATCCTAATATTAGTGTGCTCCTGTTATGAGTTGAACTCTGAAAGTTTTGGACAGTTTTGCTATGAGTCATTATACTTAAAAACCATTGCTTGCATGTGACTCCCCCAACTGTTCATAAACTCTTGGAACACGGTGTGCAGATATCTGAGGCATTAGAACTGTAAATTGGTAACTACTCTGAAGAGTCACTACAGATTCTGAATAAGGAAATTCGCAAAGCTAGATTGAAGCATACAGATATCTAGAAAGAATGTTATGAAAAACCAGTACCAATGCCTCTTGATTAGAAGTGATCCTGTAATATCATATATTTTTTCAAAAAATACAAATTTAAAAATGGAAAAATACTTACCCCTGAAGTTTTATCTTTGTTAATGCCGTAATAATAAAATAAAGCTTTTTTATTAATACCAGGTTTTATTTTTTAGTTTCTCGAAAAAAAAATTAGATAAGATAAATATTTATTTTGTATTTAATATATTTTAATATTATTATAATATTTAGTTGTATTTTGATTTTTTAAATCGAATTTTTCTTTTCAATTAGTGAATATTTTGGTTTGAAGAATATAATATTTTAAAATTAAGTCCGTCTGTGTGCACGTAAAAGACTTTAACACGTTTACGCATGCGTAGTACGAACCTTCGGCGCAAGTAAAATTTATATTAAAAAATATGTAGTATTTTTTTTAATGGTATTTTGGATCAAGGAGTCCGATTTTTTTTATTTTCAAATTTTTCCTGCCTAAATGACACTTACATTTGTAAGCGCGCGTTGTACGCGTCAAAGATAATCGTAAAAATTATTTTTAATAAGAAATTTAAATTTTTTGACCATAAAAATGATAGTATTGATGTATCACATGTTTGTATATGATAATTATATAATTTTTTCAGTGTGCGATGTGTAGAAGTTTAAAGTCTTTGATTTTGAGATAAGATTGTTTGTCTGGAAAAAAATCGTTGAATGTATGATAAAATAGTGTATATTGTTGACTGTAAAACATGGTGGAGATAGTGTTAAGGTGTGTGGTTGTTTTGGTTAAAATGCCACAAATGACTTTGAGAAAATAGACGGAGTAATGACAAAAGTAGTTTACTTGTACACTTAAAAAATTATGCTGCACCTTCGGTAAGATAGGTTAATGAGAAGTTATTTATTAATGTGATAGTAATAATGTTTTAAACCCTTTTTTTAACATTTTAGTTTACATTAAATTTCGGGAATAAAAAGTGTCACAAATTTAAAATTTTGTTTTGGGTTTGAAACCATTCAAACCGTCTTCCAGGTGTTAAACAACAAATCAATTTATTAATACCACTTTGTCATATACTATTCCCAAAACTAAAAAGCAAGTGATTTAGCTTTCTGCCCATTGATAAACATATCTTGGTTACTATACTATAATAATTATTATTATTTTATTTATTTAACACCCAATTTACAAGGTAAAAAGAAAAAAATAAGAAAGTTATTTCGGATGACTTTGCTTAAAAACGTTTTCTTCCAGAATTTGCTTGAAAACTCCTCTTTGCTCTTTTGCATTCCAGCACTCTATTGCATACTTCAAGTTTTGTTCAACTTCGGAAGGAATTTTACTTTTAGAAAGTGGTATTTTTACCTTCTTCATTCATTCATTCTTCTTCATAGTTCCTGAATATCACTAACAAACGAATGTTGAAATAACGGGTGTTGCAGTTGTGAAAAGATAATGTCTGCAGTTGTTTTGTTATTAAGAAGTCGAAGGAACAAGTTTAACTTATTTTGTTGAACACTTTTTGAAATTTCCTGGATTTTAAATAACGAATTCATATAGTTTTTACTATGTTTCGAAACATTTAAAAACGATTTTAGCGCTCCTTCCAATTATATCTAGCAAACGATTTTAGCACTCCTTCCAATTATATCTAGCTTTTTCATCAGACCAGAATTATTTTCACATAGCTCCATACCATAAGTTAAGGTGGGGACTGCCAATAATTAATATATATAGGAAATAGAACTGGGGTGGGCAAACCGGATTCCAGATTGAATAAGAGTTTGAACAACAGCTCTAAAGTTTGATATTTTTTCATCAACATTTGAATAACCGAGTGAAGCAAAAACTGAATGTTTAGTATCCCATGTGAATCCCAGATGTCTAAGTTTATTCTGAAGATTTTTTTTATTACCAGAAATTGTTATTGTATTAGTTTGTATTTGGGCTTTACCTGAGATCAAGAACTCAGTCTTTTCGGCATTCAGTTTAATACAATTTAGATTACTGTAAATATTGCATGTTTTTATAAGCTTTTTGAGACCAGATAAGGTAGAGCTTAAAAGTATTATATCATCCGCATAGGCTACCACACCAGTTAAGTTACCGTTTATAGATGTGCCATCAATACCCTGATTTTCAATAGTTTCGAGAAGACTTTCAGTGTAAATATTATAGAGGTGAGGCAAAAGAATTGATCCTTGTCTTACTCCTTGGTTTAGAGGAAAAGAGTTTGATTTACAACCTTGATATGAGACTGTTGCGCTACTATTGCTATACAACGAGGAGATAGTGTTAACTATACATAGTGGTAATTTTTTATCGAAATATAATTTTTCAAATAGAATATTCAAGTTACAGCTATCAAAAGCTTTTTCTGCA